TACACACAAATACACACATCTACACACATCTACAGTTACACACATCTACACACAAATACACACATCTACACACATCTACAGTTACACACATCTACACACAAATACACACATCTACAGTTACACACATCTACACACAAATACACACATCTACACACAAATACACACATCTACACACATCTACAGTTACACACATCTACACACAAATACACACATCTACACACATCTACAGTTACACACATCTACAGTTACACACATCTACAGTTACACACATCTACACACAAATACACACATCTACACACATCTACATTTACACACATCTACACACATCTACAGTTACACACATCTACACACTACACACATCTACACACAAATACACACATCTACACACATCTACAGTTACACACATCTACAGTTACACACATCTACACACAAATACACACATCTACACACATCTACAGTTACACACATCTACAGTTACACACATCTACACACAAATACACACATCTACACACATCTACAGTTACACACATCTACAGTTACACACACCTACAGTTACACACACCTAAGTTACACACACTAAGTTACACACACAGTTACACACACAGTTACAAACATTATTTAAGTTTTAAATGAAAAGTTTTACCCTCATGACTTTGTCCACCTTCAGGTCCTCCAGAGACGGGTACAGAGACATCTGAGGACACAGGGCAGAGGACATTACACACAGTTACACACAGTTACACACAGTTACACACAGTTACACACACAGAGGGTCAGAGGTCACTGTTATTATCCTGTTGTAAAGACTAAACGTCTCTGCGTAGGAAATGTCACATGATTCTGCACAAAAAGGAAGTGAACAAAAAACAAAAAAAACAGAACAAAAGAATGTTCACTTTGTGTTTCACTTGAACTTTGATCAGATTTAAGATTTGGTCTGATCTGAAACAAAACCATGAGACACAGACAGGAGCAAACAACAGACAGGAGCAGAAACAGGAGTAAACAACAGACAGGAGCAGAGACAGGTTCAGACATGTGTCACATGTGCAGGTCTTCTCTGTACAGACGAGTGTCTGGGGCTCATGAACAACAACAACGGAACAACAACTACAACAACAATTACTACTACTACTACTACGACTACAACAACAGAAACTACAACAACTACAACAAAAACTACTACTACAACAACTACAACTACAACAACAGAAACTACAAAAACTACAACAGAAACTACTACTACAACAACAATGACAACTACTACAACAACTACAACCACAACTACAACAACTACAACAACAGAAACTACTACTACAACAACTACTACAACAACAGAAACTACTACTACAAAAACTACAACAGAAACTACAACAATTACTACTACTACAACAACTACTACTACAACTACAACAACAGAAACTACAACCACAACTACAACAACAGAAACTACTACTACAAAAACTAGAACAACAGAAACTACAACAATTACTACTACTACAACAACTACTACTACTACTACAACTACAACAACAGAAACTACTACTACTACAACAATGACAACTACTACAACAACTACTACTACTGCAACAACAACGACAACTACTACAACAACTACTACAACAACTACGACAACTACTACAACAACAACTACAACCACAGAAACTACAACAACCACAACTACAACAACTACTACAACAACCACAACTACAACAACTACAACAACAACTACTACTACTACTACAACAACAACTACTACTACAACAACTACAACAACAGAAACTACAACAACTGCAACAACTACAACTACTACTACAACTACAACCGCAACTACTAAAGCTACTACTAAAACTACTACTACTACAACAACAGAAACTACAACAACCACAACTACTACAACTACAACTACTACAACAACAGAAACTACTACTACAACAACAACTACTACTACTTACTGCCAGTATTGTCCAAATCCACAGTGAAGTAACCAGATCTTTCCAAACCCTGTGCTTCCTGTTCTTTCAGATAAACCCACAGACTGTGACCAAATGCACGAGTCACCGTCACAAGACACAGTGAACAAACACTATTACATCATCCTCCAACACTATTAAATCATCCTCACATTGGACTTTACACAACTGTAACACATATAAGTACCACCACAACACAACGCCGTAACACATGTCCACAACACTGTAACACACCACAACAACACACATCCACACCACTGTAACACACCACCATACCAACATAACACACCAACATAACACACATGCACACCACTGTAACACACCACCGTAACACACCACCACACCACTGTAACACACATCCACACCACTGTAACACACCACCATACCAACATAACACACCAACATAACACACATGCACACCACTGTAACACACCACCGTAACACACCACCACACCACTGTAACACACCACCGTAACACACCACCACACCACTGTAACACACATCCACACCACTGTAACACACATCCACACCACTGTAACACACCACCATACCAACCATAACACACCAACATAACACACATGCACACCACTGTAACACACCACCGTAACACACCACCACACCACTGTAACACACATCCACACCACTGTAACACACCACCATACCAACATAACACACCAACATAACACACATGCACACCACTGTAACACACCACCATAACACACCACCACACCACTGTAACATGTCACTGTAACACACATCCACACCACAGTAACACACCACCATACCACATAACACACCGCCGTAACACAACACTGTAACACGCCAGCATACCACCGTAACACGCCACCACACCGCTGTAACATGCCACTGTAACACACAATACCACGTAACACACCACGGTAACACACCACTGTAACGTACATTCACAAAACCTCTACTGTTCATCTTCACTGTTGTACTGATGTCGTCTCATTTCAGTAAATAACACTTCACTCAGTGTTAACTTCATGAACACAAACAGGACGCTGCATTTGACTTTATGGAATCTGCCTAAAAATCTAACTCATGTATTTCTATGTATGAAGTACATGTATGAGTCCAGAGTCTGCTCCAAAACAAAAGAACATCAGCCTCAGTGTACCCCTCTGACCCCTGACCTCTGACCCCTGACCTCTGACCCCTGACCTCTGACCTCTGACCTCTGACCCCTGACCTCTGACCCCTGACCTCTGTGGATCCTTCTGTTCTGTGACATTTTAAATCTCAATATTGATCTAATTCAACTTCATAAAGAAACAAGTGCGACGACTTCAGCGCTAGAAAACTGTGGAGTCTAATGAAGCTGATGATGACAACAAAGCGCCGCATGGACCGAATCAGGACTAGACCAGGAGTAGACCAAGACTAGACCAGGACTAGACCAGGTGGAGCTGAAAACGGGGGGGGAGCAACAAAATGGAGTCTTGAAAATTAGAGATTAAATATTCCTCAAACATGAATCTCTCCAAATAAAAACTTCAGAGGGTCAGAGAGAAGAAACGACAAGAACCTGGAGAAACATCTGAGGAGAACAGTTTGGAGAAGAGCTCCGAGTTAAATGAGTTCAGTTCCTCGGTCCATTAAACTGTATTTAAGAGTAGTTTCCATTTTATGAAGTAAAAAAACTGACAGAAACCACAGAACAAACTGGTCACTCCTCCTCCTCCTCCTCCTCCTCTTCCAGGTCCATGGAAAAGCTGCGTCACTCCATCTCACAGGTTTGTTTATCTGGGCATGTTTCAATCTAATCCATTTTATTTCTACAGCACAGACTCAGACAAAGACCATGAACCACAGTCAATCATAAATAAAAACAATACATTACAAAAAGTCTTCAAATGTATAAAACTAAAGATTTAAATAAAAGACACAGAGGAGCAGACGACTCACACGGGGTTAGGGTTAAAAGTTGGTCTTCAGACGAGACTTAAACTCTCCGCTGTGGGGACCTGGGACTTGTTCAAATCAAACTCCACAACACAGTTTTTATTCAGTCCCAGCGGCTCTCGAAGGTTTTACACTCGACTGAAACTCTGTGCTCCAGTGCAGATCCACAGGATGGGCCCACAGTCTGGTCTGGTCCTGGTCGAGTCCTGGTCGAGTCCTGGTCTAATCCTGGTCTGGTCCTGGTCGAGTCCAGTTCTATCCATGGGAGGGGCCCACAGCCTGTTTTGGTCCTGGTTGAGTCCTGGTTTAGACCTGGTTTAGACCTAGTTCAGACCCAATTTAGACCCAGTTCAGTCCTGGTTTAGACCTGGCTGAGTCCTGGTTTGGTCCTGGTTTAGTCCTGGTTCAGTCCTGGTTTAGACCTGGTTTAGTCCTGGTTTGGTCCTGGTTTAGTTTTGGTTTGGTCCTGGTTCAGTCCTGGTTTAGACCTGGTTTAGTCCTGGTTCAGTCCTGGTTTAGTCCTGGTTTAGTCCTGGTTCAGTCCTGGTATAGACCTGGTTTAGTCCTGGTTTAGTCCTGGTTTAGTCCTGGTTCGGTCTAACGCTGAAGTCGTCGCACTTGTTTCTTTCTGAAGTGGTTTTAGATCAATATTTCGATTTAAAATGTTTTAATTATAACAAAATGATCCACAGAGGTCAGAGGTCAAACTCTGAAATAAAAAAAAGTTTGGTCCATTTTCCTCCTGATTTTTGGACAGAAACAAGAACTCAAACTCATCTTTAATCAACCACAAAACAGACGCTCTGGAGCTGTGCCCAAGTGTAAAATCATTCAAACAACATATTAACACCTGAAAAGAGTTAAACAGGACGACTCTGTAAAAACAACACCGACACCGACTCCATCATCTCTGACCAAAACCCAAACAAAACCGTGTTTAATGTGGGATTATTGTCACAGTTTTCACTAAAATGGGAGTTTTTCTGTGAACAGGCCGGAGTCTCCCACGACCACAGCGACTCCGGCTCAGTGTTAAACCCAAAGACCCTCTACAGACCCTTTACAGACCCTTTAAACCCGAACGAATCATTTGGACAAAAGAATGTGGAGGTTTTGGCTCCGATCTGAGGCCTGAAAATAAAAGAAAGACGGAAGAGGAGGAAGAGGAGGAGGAGGAGGAGGAGGAAGAGAAGGAGGCGACACAGGAGAAAAGCGAATGTCTGAGCTGGATTTTAACTCCACCGTCCGGAGTTAAAACCTCAAATCTGCGCCTGTGACACAAGGAGACGGAGAATAATCATTATTTTAAAGGGTTTATCCGGAGTTTTCCGCGCAGATCCGTCCGTGTCCCGGTGTCAGAGGAAACAGCCCCGTTACTCCGAACATTAAATATTAAAGATGCTAAAGATGAAGAGGGAAATCTGAGCCAAACCCGCGTCCGACGGGCTCAAATTCAACTACACGATTATTCACAAAGTCTCGGGTTTAAATAACGACACAAGTGTGGGGAAAAAAACGGCCCCAAATGAGCCCAAAAGCGCAGAGCAGCGGCTTTGTTCCGAAACAGACGCGACATAAACAAACAGCGCCAGGCTAACGGGCTAATGCTAACATGCTAATGCTAACATGCTAACCATAGACACAAAACTGAATGAATGTCTATGGGGCTAACGGGCTAATGCTAATGCTAATGCTACCTCCAGCAGACAGCGGGGCTCTGCGCAGCTCGGCCCCGGGGCTCACCTTCACACCGCGGGCGTGGACAGCGGAGAGACTCGGGGGACAGAGGCGCTGAGGCGGGCCGCAGAGAGAGTCCGGGGAGAGGCTGCGCTGCTCGGGCTCACGGGAGGACGGGCTGGTAGTAGAAGTACACGGGCTGGTAGTAGAAGTACACGGACGCAGTACACGGACGCAGTACTCGGACGCAGTACTGTGTGTATTCTGGGAGTGGACGTGAGAGCGGAGCGGAGGGGAATTCTGGAAAGTGACGTCAGCGCGTACGCTTCCCGATCGGGGACGGACGTCAATCACTCGCAGGACACGCCCCTTTCAGTCCCGTGATCAAAGAAAATCCAAAGAAGAGTTTTAGAATTTAATAGTTTTTGTAGGAGCTATTTGCTTATTTTGTTGATTCTAAAATTAGTTTATTATTTTTGTTTGTTTAGTTAGTTTACTAATTTAGTTTTGTTAATTTGTATAATATATTTTTGCTATGTTAATATTATTCTTGCTAATTTCTTAGTCTAAGTTGGTATTATTTACGTTAGCACCTCTTTTTTGTTTTTGGTTTCATTTGGGTCACCTCGGGGATAAAGGAGGGTGGTACATGGACCAGAGTGACCAGGGTGGACCTGTGTTTTTTTCCCAGTCACGAGGAGAGGCAGCAGGAGTCGCCTTAAACATGTATTCTTTGTTTCTTGCCAAAAAAATGGAAAATAAATCTTGGAAAATCATCTCGTCATGGACATTGATTTGTGCTGCGTAAACCACATCCCCACGGTGATCAAAGGTGATTATTTGAGTTATGTTTAGTTCTGAGTTTGCTCACGCTTTTGTTTGTTACTTTTATTTGACAAATAGTCACTACAGTTTTATAATTTAATAGTTTTATAGTTTGATGGTTTTATGAGCCCAGTGTTGAGTCTGTGTCTCTGTCTCAGCAGATTTACACAAAACCACTGATTTGTCCCGGTGTTTCTATTTTGGACAAATCTGATCCCGAAACAGTAAAAACACAAACTGTCATTTGTTTTGGTAAAATACAGAAAATCTGCTTAAAAACGACCAAAACTTAAATAAAATGTGCCTGTACTGACTCACATGTTTGTCATGAATGGGCCGAGTGCAGAACAATTTTCTTTAATGACGCTTTCGTTTCACACCCTTTGGTTGGTGTAAATAAAATGGTGAAAAAACCTCGTGACATTTTCCATCTTGACTCATTTGTCAGAATCTGAGGGACGTCAGTCGGGGACATTTTCACACTTTTCTGTGTTTTAACTCAACAAATGACAAACTGTCCCTCACCTCAACTGTTCACAGAAAAAACTGAGGGTTTAAATATCAGGGTAAAATACACACACAGGAGGGACCTGACACACACAGGAGGGACCTGACACACACAGGGAGGGACCTGACACACACAGGAGGGACCTGACACACACAGGGAGGGACCTGACACACACAGGAGGGACCTGACACACACAGGGAGGACCTGACACACACAGGAGGGACCTGACAACACAGGGAGGGACCTGACACACACAGGGAGGACCTGACACACACAGGAGGGACCTGACACACACAGGGAGGGACCTGACACACACAGGGAGGGACCTGACACACACAGGAGGGACCTGACACACACAGGGAGGGACCTGACACACACAGGAGGGACCTGACACACACGGGGAGGGGACCTGACACACGTGTGTGTAAGAGTGTGTGTGTGTGTGTGTGTGTGTCATTTACACTCTGGGCCTTGTTGCCATGGGAACAGTGATGGAGTCGTTTACCTGGAAGTTGAAGATCTGTAGAAGAAAATATTTGGAGTCTGATGGATCACAGCGCCATAAAAACAGGAAAGAGTTTCACAGGGATCATAAACAGTTTACTGAGGTCCAGACAGGTGTAGGCAGGTGCAGGCAGGTGCAGACAGGGGCCAGGTCAGATGAGGTCACATGTTTCCTGGAGCTTCCTTCAGGAGGAAACTTCACTTTATTCAAACGACTCATTTCAGCTCAAAATAAACCAGGATGTTTCTGTGTTGTTTTTATTTTTTATTTCCCCAAAAGAAAAAGAAAAAGTAAAAGTCACGTTTGGATTTTTCCAGGACCAGAAAAGACGAGTCAGAAAAACAACAAAACAAAAGGAGGAGAGAAAGTTCTGAAGTCGACGAGATTCACTCTGAAGAGTTTAAAGAGGAGCTGGTTTTGTTTGAACGAAAGAAACGAACTCACGGAAAAACACGACGGATCTGAGGGGAAAAGAGAAAAGAGAGAAAAGAGGAGGAGAAAAGGAGGAGGACAGAGGAGCTGAGGAGGAGGATCAGACGTGAGAGTTGAGCCCAAACATCTCCAGCAGGTCTCAGAGGGTTTGAGGTGGAGTCCAGGCGACCTCTGACCTCTGACCTCTGGGACCTTCTCTCCGTCTGTGGGTTCAGATCCGTTTAATCTTCAGGGGTTTATTTTAGTTTTATTTTATTTAAATGTTTGTGTCTGGAGAGTCCGTGTCGCTCCGTGTTCTGTTTGTTCTTTTAAATTTCAATTAAGAATCAAAAACAAACAAATGATAAAACAGTTTAATTCATTTTTAGTTTTAGTGTCAAAAAAAACAAAAAACTGATTTTGACCTCGATTTCCAATATTTAATTTATTTCAAATAACACTAATAAAAAGAGTCTTGGTGATTATTTTAATGTTATTATTAAATGATGTTTATATTTTTAAAGACTTGAGTCGTGTTTGGAGGAAAAACACTGAAGTGAAACAGACCGAAGATGAAAATCAGAAATGATTCAAAGATTTTGTCAAAATCACAAAGTAAAACACAAAGGACAAAGGTCATTGACAGGACTGTGAAGAAATATCGATATATCGTTTGGTTTAATGTGATGATTCAGTATCAATATCGTGTATTGTTGTATCGATATTTCACCAAGAGGATTTTTTGGTTTTAGTTCCAGTTCCAGTTTTGTTGTTTGTTCAGAGGAAGAAACTCGTTTCTGCGACACATTCGACATTTTCACTGATTTGACGATTTCAATATTTGTGTTTCATTTGAACTTTACACAAGAAGAAGTTTAATAAAGACTTTTACTGTCACACTCCATTTATTTTTACTTTACCACATTGAATCGATTTAAAATATATCGTATTGAATCATATCGAATCATCAGCTCAATGTATCGAGATGTTTATCGTATCGGCCGTAACGATGTCAGCGTCACCGATGCTCGATGTTTCTCTCTGGGCTCTTTTTGTGTCGTCTTTTACAGCGACTCGTTTATTTTCACGTGTGAGAAAGACGACAAACAGAAGCAGAGAAACTTTTTCTTCTGGTGATTCTGGTCACAACAAAACCAGAGAATCTAATATCGACATGAAAATAATCACAGACGGTTTTTATTAGTGTTATTTAAAATAAACTTTAAATGAAATATTGGAAATCGAGGTCGAAATCAGTTTTTTGTTTGTCACTAAAACAGAAAAATGAAATGGGAAAAGTTTGTTTAATCATTTAATTGTTTGTGATTCTGATTGTTTATGTTCTGAAATTCAAAAGAACCAACCAAAATGTATTTCAGAGGTTTTTTTAAACTCATGGACCTGGTGGACCTGGTGGACCTGGTGGAGTTCTACATCTACAGCCGTGTGGACCTGGCTCCTGTTTCTCCTGAGGGAGCAGCGCCCTCTGGTGGCCACAGAATGAAACAGTCCAAACAAAAGACTCAAATCAGAAGTTTATTTCAGTTTAAACCTGGAGACGTGTCTGTGCAGTGTGAGAAACGGAACATCTCAGAGGGACAAAAGTCACGAATCAAGAGCGAGAAGATCTGAGAGGCTCCTCCTCCTCCGAGTCTCTCACCGGAGCAAAGAGGAGAAGAACTAAACCAGGAACAATCAGATTCAGCTCCGAATCCTCCTCCTCCTCAGTCAGTGAGAAGAGGAAGAAGAGGAAGAAGAGGAAGAGGAAGAGGAAGAGGAAGAAGAGGAAGAGGAGGAAAGAGGAAGAGGAGGAAGAGGAAGAGAGGAAGAGGAGGAAGAGGAGGAAGAGAAGAGGAAGAGGAGGAAGAGAAGAAGAGGAAGAAGAGGAAGAAGAGGAAGAGGAGGAAGAGGAGGAGAGGAGGAAGAGGAGGAAGAGGAAGAAGAGGAAGAGGAGGAAGAGGAAGAGGAGGAAGAGGAAGAAGAGAAGAAGAGGAAGAAGAGGAAGAGGAGAGGAGAGAGGAAGAGAGAGAGAAGAGGAAGAGAGAGAGAAGAAGAGGAGGAGGAAGAGGAGGAAGAGGAGGAAGAGGAAGAAGAGGAAGAGGAAGAAGAGAAGAAGAGGAAGAGGAGGAAGAGGAGAAGAGGAAGAGGAGGAAGAGAGGAAGAGGAAGAGAGAAGAGAGAGGAAGAAGAGGAAGAAGAGGAAGAGGAGGAAGAGGAGAAGAGGAGAGGAGGAAGAGGAGGAAGAGGAGGAAGAGGAGGAAGAGGAAGAAGAGGAGGAGGAGGAGGAAGAGGAGGAGGAGGCATTTAAAGCAGCTACAGCCTCATTTCAGATCAGAGTTCTTTGGGTTCTTAAAGCCTCAGCAGATGCCTTCACCGTGTGGACATGTTTGGGTCAGGACCTCAGGACCTCAGGACCTCAGGACCTCAGGACGTCGTGTTGGTGTGTTTTCGATGACCTCCACACACCTCAGACCCTCCTGACACGGTCCTGAAGGTTCTGAAGGTCCAAACACGTCCACACCATGAAACCACTGACCTCTGACCCCCAAACCCTCTGACCTCTGACCTTTCCTCTGGAGGAGAAACAAAAACATTAGATTCATCTTTAGAAAAACAAAACCAGAGTCCAGACCCCGCCTCCTCCTGCGAGGGGGTGTGGCCTCCTCCTGCGAGGGGGTGTGGCCTCCTCCTGCGAGGGGGCGTGGCCTCCTCCTGCGAGGGGGCGTGGCCTCCTCCTGCGAGGGGGTGTGGCCTCCTCCTGCGAGGGGGCGGGGCTTGTGGTGGGTTCTACTTTAGCTGCTGGACGATGACGGCGTTCAGGAGGTTTGCGTCCTGCAGCGTCTGACTCTCGTCGCTCAGCTCTTTGTTTGGAAACGTGGTCATCAGAACGAACTCCCTCGCCGCCATCGCCGGACGCGCCGCCAACACGAACGCACGCAGGTCAGACACCCTGAAACACACACACGCACACACACACACACACACACACACACACACACACACACACACACATAGACACACACACACACGGCACGGTCAGACACCCTGTCGTAACCCCGCGCCCCTCATGCCCCTCCCCGTGCGTCAGGTGCGTCAGGTGCGTCAGGTGCGTCAGGTGCGTCAGGTGCGTCAGGTGCGTCCTCTCACCTGTGCGTGTGGTTGAAGCGGTGCACGAGTCGTCCTCCGTCGGCGAGTCTGATCTGGATGTTGGTGACGGGGGTCGAGGGGTCAAGGGTCACGGAGGCGCTGGCCTGAGCCTCGGCCACCGCCTGGTCCTTCTGCGAGGGCGGAGCCGACACCAGCTCCGGGGTCGCGCTGGACGCACAACACAAGCGCACAACATGAGAACCACGACGCACAACATGAGACCACGACGCACAACATGAGAACCACGACGCACAACATGAGAACCACGACGCACAACACGAGAACCACGACGCACAACACGAGAACCACGACGCACAACACGAGAACCACGAGAACCACGACGCACAACACAACCACGACGCACAACACCACGACGACAACACGAACCACGACGCACAACACGAGACCCACGACGCACAACACGAACCACGACGCACAACACGAGAACCACGACGCACAACATGAGAACCACGACGCACAACACGAGAACCACGACGCACAACATCAGAACCACGACGCACAACATGAGAACCACGACGCACAACACGAGAACCACGACGCACAACACGAGAACCACGACGCACAACACGAGAACCACGACGCACAACACGAGAACCACGACGCACAACACACAACACGAGACACAACACAAGAACCACGACGCACAACATGAGAACCACGACGCACAACACGAGAACGACGAGGCACGACAACACACACATAAAACACAGGTGTGTAACGACACTGTTGATGTCTCGATATCGTTGTGGTAAATTTGTCTCGATATCGTTGTGGTAAATTTGTCTCGATATCGTTGTGGTAAATTTGTCTCGATATCGTTGTAGTAAATTTGTCTCGATATCGTTGTGGTAAATTTGTCTCGATATCGTCCTGGTCTCGTCTCGTATTAAACTTTGAGTCTTTAGGCAAAAAGCAGATTTTCGGTCTTTCCTGTGGCGCACACTAAACTACATGGACCATGATCCTTTGCGGTGGCGGCGGCGGCGGCGGTGGCCTGAGCGCTCGATGTGGACGCACCACAGACTTTAAGTCTGAGGTCGAGAAACATTTTGTGTTTGTGACACAAAGCGAAAAGAGAAAAGGTGTCGGACAAACACAACGCACCAAAACAGTCCAACCTGAGAAGAACCTAACGATAAACGACACGTCCAAAATGTTCAAGGACGTTTCACAAAATCAAGTCGGGACAAAAACTCTACGTGAAACTTTTACCCCAGAACTGCCTCAAACAGCTCAAGAAATAAAACACATCACAGAAAATAAAGAGATTTGATCCAGTTTCCACAATGACGACGTCGAGTTTAAAAAGTTTAAGAGGAAAAACTGGAGCTCAAATATAAAACACTTTGTTTTTTTATTTCCTACAGGACGACTCAAATCTACACAGAGTAATAACAAGTTTAATTCAGATTTGACACATTTATGTTTTATAGAAACGAATCTTAAAACCACACGACTCATTTACACAAGTCTGAATAAAAACGCTGGTCCTTGAGGCTGATGTGGTT